AAAATAAAAAACCCTCAAAAATGATGGATCGAGTGATTGACCACGGTATGAGACGACGATGAAATGGATGTGTTCAAAGTATCAAGACAATGATGCTGGTTGATAGATCTTTAACTACCATTCAAAATACTGAGTAGATTTTCCTACAGCCTTTGGCGGTTACGTATACCGTTGCTTTTGTATCTTTGACAGCTTCTTTGTCACGTACGAACTACTATTCATTTTTGGATTAGGACAAGTTTGACATATTTAAAAAAAAAAAAAAGATAAAAAGATAAAAATTTATTTAAAAAATTAAAAAGTTATCATTATTTATTAAAAAAAATATTAAAAAATTAATTTTACACAACTGTACAATTCATCAATCTGGCCCGTGAAGGTCTGGGCTGCGTTTTTTAAGAAAAATTACACAGTTGGAGTGTAATTTTAACACATTGTTGTTCGGCCTGTGGAGGCCCATCACAAGTTCTGTTTTGATAATCTGAACCGTTTAATGTGTAGAACTTGTCGAGTATTATATTTCTGTAAAAAATCACATTTATCGGATATCGATAACTATATGATCAAATCAGTTTTGCATGAAAAAATGGATGATATTATAATTACGGTTGAAAAAAAAATTGATCAGATAGTTATCGATATCCGATCAACGTAATTTTTTACAAGCATATAGTACTCGACGAGTTTTACACATTGAACGGTTCAGATTATCAAAACGGGACCCGTAATGGCCCCCATGAGCCGAACAGCACCGTCCAGTGCAATACCCAAAAAGTAGACAATTATTTCCTAGCATCCATTCAACCTAACAACCGTACAACTCACTTTCCTAATCTTATTCTACACACTAATTTATATAGTTTTTTAATATATATTTTTCTATAAAAATTCAAAAAGTTAACCCAAACTATCATATTTTTTTCTTCAATTTTTTAGTTCAAAAAGTCAAAAAGTACACTTATTTAGGACATCCCAAACAACCCATAAATAAATAAAATGTTCAGTTATTTTTACTTAGGTCTTGTTTGGTAATTTTTAATTTTAACTAAAAAATTAAAAAGTTATTATGAATTATCACATTACTCTTTTTATTTTTCTGTATATTTTTTTATAAAAAATTATTAAAATAATCTATTTCTAAATGAAGCATTATATTTTGTTTTAAAACTTTTTTCCTCTTATCTTTTTCTTTCGGTTCACAAATTTCTTCTCTTTTAACTTTTAAGTTATTTTGTAGATTCAATCACTTCGATTCCTTGCTTTTGTCACGATGAATAACCAAGACTAGATGGCCATTGTCCTGTGTTCTAAATCTTGGGCTCCGTTTAGATTAGTTTTAAAATGATGATTTGAGTAGCGTAGTAATTTAAGGATGAAATTATGAGTTGAGTTTTGAAAAAAAAATATATTTAGTTAAGAGTTTTAAAATGAGTTTTGAATTTTGAATTTTGAAAAGAGTTTTAAGTTGTATTTTAAGTTTTGAGTTTTTGAATTTTGAATTGTAGTTTGAAATTTTTTGGATTTATTTTTTTAAATATTTAAAAATGTTTAAGAAAATTTTATTATTTTATTTTAAATATTTTTTAATATTTTAATATTTAATTTTTTTAATATTTTAAATTCAAAATATAATTCTACACTAAAATCATAATCAAACACATAATTCAAAACTTAATTCAAAAAATATTTTCAAAACACATAACCAAACATATAACTCAAAATTTAATTCAAAAATTATTTTTAAAACTCATAACTAAACACAAAACTGAAAACTCAATTAAATTTTTTTTTTCGAAACTCATAACCAATTTTTTTTGTTCCAAACTCTTTTTAAAATTCTATTAAAAAATTCAAAATAATATATTTTTTGTTCTTTAAAATATTTTTTTATTTTTTCAAAAAAATAGTTTTTTCAAAAACATTTTGTTTATTTTTATTTTTGAAGATTTTTTTTAAAAATTTTTTCGAAAAATAATTTTTGTTATTTTTTTAAGTATTGGCCAAATAATTTGTTATGATTTAGATATTTATGGTGATTCAAATTTTTTTAAAGGGCTTTTTTATTGATAAATACCATTCAGAGGTGTTCTAACTCAATAAGTCCACTAAGAAAAATTATAACCTAATTAGTTTCTTGTATTTATACTTTTATTCCATGAGGGCCTTTATTTATTTATTTATATAGTTTGTTGGACTATTATATCCTTATGCCTATTGTTGATATGTATTATATAGAAAAAAATGATATACATATTTTGTTTTTGTTGCTACCTCTATTTTGGTAGTTACCATTATTCATGTTTTTTCTTTTTGATCAGTTTCATTCACATTTGTGATATTGTTTCATTGTGTTAGGGTTTAAAACTCTTTATTTGATAGGTTTAGAAACTTTAGTTTATACATGGTGGTGAAATAATATTATGTTCCTCTATTGTTGCGGTGAAACTCTGTGTTCCTCTATTGTCACTTTGTGTTCGAAGTTCTGTGTTCGTCCATTGTTGCTATGTGTTCGAAACTTTATGTTTCTCCATTATTGTAAGTCAAAACTCTGTTTATGTCTAGTCAATTTTTTTACAAACATATTCTTCAAAGGTGAGTTTGGTTTGATTTGAATTGGTGGAATTGTGAAATTGTATAGATTATTAATGATAGTGATAATGATAAAAATGATGGTGATGAAGATGGGGATGTGGGTGGTATTTTATTTATTTATTTATTGTTTTTAGTGTGATTGAGTTTTTTTTAGATTTCTAATTCTATTGTTGCCGTTGTTACTATTTTTTTTTTCTAATCAATGTGAATGTTCATTTTTCACATTGTTTGAAAGTCTGAGAAATAAGTGTTGAAATATGTAAAAATAAAAAAAATAAAAAAAGATGGATGACAGAGAAGGTCGTGCGGCGGTTAGCAGAGAAGGTTGGCAACCGGTGTTTAGGAGAAGAGGTCGAGATATTGGTGCAAATTTGGGCATTCATATAGTGTTCATGGATGATCTACCTGAAACAATGAGCCCAAAAGGTCTGTTCTCTCTTTTCTCTAAATTTGGGGTAGTGAAGGATGTGTTCATTCCAATCAAAAGAAGAACGGCCATAAGATCAAAATTTGGTTTTGTGAGGTATGATTGCCCATTAGCAGCGGGAGTAGCAATACATAAAACAAATGGTGTATGGTGTGATAATAAAATTTTGAAAGTTAAGAAAGTTGATTTTGGTAAGGAGCAACTATCAAAGGCAATGTATGAACCCTCAACGGTCATCAGAGAAACAGATGGGGAGCCAAGGAGGAAGTGTACGTATGCTGAGGAGGTAAAAGGTGGTGCACTAAAGAAGGATAAGGATTTGAGATTGCATGCAGAAGAGTATGGGATTGGGTGGCTTTTCAACAGCCTGGTGGTCAAGTTGAAAACTCATTTTTCTTTCAAAGATTTTAAAGAGGATCTGCAGAACAGAGGCTTACAAAATATTGAAGTAAAGGAAAGTGGGGGTAGAATGGTGTTTGTAACATTTTCATCAGTTCAAGCTATGAGGAATAGAAGCATTATTATTAGAAAATGGGTTGAGGACTGGTGCGAAATGGTAGTGGAATGAGAGAGATGGATGATAGTCAATAGTAAAAGATTGATATGGTTGTATTGTTATGGAGTTCCACCAAATCTGTGGAACTCTAAAAACTTTAAAAAGATTGGAGAGATGTGGGGTGAAGTGGTGGGCATTCATGATGAAACGTTGAGCATGAAATCACTAAAATGTGGGAATGTGGAAATTATTACATCACGGGTGGAACATATAGATAATATGGTTATCATGGAGAGCAGGGGCACCTCGTTTCCAATAAGAGTGGTGGAGTGTATGCGACAGAGCCATGGGTATCATTCTGGAGAGGTTGTAAATGGAAGTAAGTCATGGGTGAACGATAGTAGCCACGAGAGAGTAGATCAGAGCTCTGTGTCCAAACAGATGGGAAAGAAGAAGATGATGCTTACAAGGCTGTCCCTAAAGATGACTTGGACGTTCAAGGTGAGATGGCCAAGAATCAATGGGTTGACATGGAGAAGAAGGGATTAATACATGGTGGGTGCTGTAATTCTCTTTCCATCTCAATTGTAAAGGAAATGGCTAGAGAATTGGATACCCAAATTACGGTTATAGACCCTTCTGGTTCCAAGACAAGCATGCAAAACAAATCAGTTAAGAGTCAAGAAGTGGGAAACTGTAGAGTCGTTGAGAATTTTGGGCCTTTTGGCTTGATGAGAAGCCTTAGTGTAATGGTATTGATAGGCTGACTATTAACTTGGAGGTGGTTTTAAGTCAGGCCCAATATGATGGGCTTTGTGATGGTTTGGAGGTAGGTTTAGAAAGACAGAATGTGGAGAACCCTGGGCCACTTGCTTTTGTGTCTCCACTTAACCCTGTGGTTGAAGCCCAGTAAAATGTTCTTTTTGAAGCCTATGATAACCCAGGCTTTGACCAACCAATTCATATTAGATCGGATAAAGGTAAGAAGGTTGTGGAAGGCCATAATATTTTAGTGTCTGAGAACTTTTTTGTCAAAACAGAGATAAAGGGAAGAATGTTTCTGCGGCTCTTGTTGGTTCACATGGGGAGCAACTATTCCTGGCGAGAAGAGACGAGGGATATAAAGTTGATCAAGCTTCTACAAGTAAAAGACAGGGGTCAAGTTCAAGAAGGAAAAAGAAATTAAGAGGCACTACACAGTTTTGCAAAGGTTTTCAAGGAGGAGCAATATTTAGAGCTGCGGCTTCTGTGATTTCTTCTTCCATGTCAGTCAGTAGTGGTGCGTATAGACAGATCTTGAGCCAAAATGAAGCTAAAGCAACTGTTCAAATGGGGAAAGATCTGGGTATTGATTTTGGGAATAATAAAGAAAGTGTTATTTACAAAATTATGGAGATAGAGAATCAAGATGAGGAAAGATTAGCCAAAAAGGGGTTTCATGCTTAAGTTTGCACCGTACGAGATTAAGAGTCAGAAGTTTTTACAATGAAAGTGCTATCATGGAATGTTAGAGGCTTGGGTAAGCTTGAGAAAAGAAGAAGTCTTAGAAATGTTATAAAGGAAAAAGGGTGGATTTTGATGCAAGAAACGAAGAAGTCAAGTTTTGATGAGCTTTTTGTTAGATGTATTTGGCCAGATGATGATCTCGGCTATATAGGGGTTGATGCAGAAGGAAGTGCAGGGGGCTTGTTGTGCTTGTGGAAGCCTGATGTTTTTCAGCTTAAGGATTGTTGCGGTTCTAGGAACTTTATTTCGCTATCAGGTTTGGTTTTCCATAGGCATGATTGTGTCATAGGCAATGTCTATGCCCCTAATGATAGTAGAGATCGAAGTCATCTTTGGGTGGTCCTAGCCAATTTAAAAGCATCCTTTCCAAAACCGTGGTGTTTAGGGGGGGATTTCAATGAAATCAGAAGTATAGGGGAACAGAAAGGATGTGTGAGAAGTGATAGAGGGATGCAGGAGTTCAATGAGTTTTCGAATAATCTTCAATTGGTTGATGTTCCTATGTGTGGTAGGAAATATACCTGGAGTAATTTGCAATTAGGAGTGTGTTGGAGGCGAATTGATAGATTCCTTTTAAATCCAAAGTGGTTTGAATGGTTTAGCTTTAAGTTATGGGGCCTTCCTAGAACGTTGTTTGATTACTGCCCACTCTTATTGAAGAAAGATGAGAAGGATTCGGGTCCAAAGCCTTTCAAATTCTTAAATGCATAGGTGTTACGTCCCAGTTTTATCAAAGAAATTAAAAAGGTGTGGGATGGTTCACAAGTGGTGGGGTGGGCTGGCTTCAGGATAATGGTCAGCTGAGATTACTTAAATAGGCATTGAGGATTTGGAATGTGGAGGTATTCAATAATGTGGAGTCTAAACTCAAAGCAGCTGAAGTAGAGTTACATTCTTGGGACTTAACTGCGGAAGAAAGAGATCCTCTAGAAGCTGAAGTTAGAAAATGAATTGAAGTCAGAGATGAAGTATGGAAGCTTAGGAAAAGGAGAGAGTGGATATGGTTGCAAAAGTCGAGATTGAATTGGGCCTTAAAAGGGGATAAAAATGCCAAGTACTTTCACATAATGGCATCAATAAGGTAAAGTAGGAATCTCATTGATTCAATAAAGATTAATGGTATTTTATATGAGGATCCTGTGAAAATGAAAAAGGCAGTGTGGGCTTACTTTAAAGAGTTGTTCATAAAAGGTTGGAAACGTAGACCAAGTCTAGGGGTTGAGTTTAGATGTATTGATCAATATCAACTTCAGAATTGTTTGGTGAAGGATTTTTCAAAAGCAAAGGTGTGGGCTGCAATTAAGGAATGCAATGGAAATAAGGCCTAGATGGGTTTAACCTGACTTGCATTCAAAAGGGCTGGAAGTTCATGAAGGGTGATATTATGGAATTTATGAAACAGTTCCATGATAATAGTGTGTTGGGAAATGAAATTAATTGCGCATTTGTGACCCTAGTTCCCAAAGTTGATAGTCCTGAATCAATTAAAGACTTTAGACGTCACGACCCAAACCCGCCCCTAGAAGTTTGGTCCATGACCGGTCTGTACTTAGGCCTCAAAACATAATTTCAAAATAGTATTTATTTAAATACGGGGCCTTAAGCGGAAGCAAATACCAACATAGGTAAAATGCCCATTGAGCTTGTGCATACATGAAGGTTTAGATTAATTTAAGCATTTAAATACGCTTCCATATTTACATATATAATCACAGAATTTATAGAGATCTCACACACATTTACATAAGACTCTATGAATCACATACTTCTCTAATACAAAATTAAAGTCTCGATGCGGAGGCGTAACCCGGCAGCTTGACAGAAAGGTGGTCCTCAATACAACTCTAGTATCGATCTCCGATGGCTCACCTACATAAACATATATATAAAAACGGTATGAGCAAGGCATAGTAAATAATAGCAATGTAAAGAGGTTAGGTGAATGAGCATAGCCTTGGAGAATAAATATACATATATCAAACCATACACAGGTCTTATCTATAACCATATTTCAAAACGGCCTCAGGCCCACATGTAATATAGAACGGCCTCGGCCCCATGTTTGATACGAAACAGCCTTAGGCCCAACATAACAACAGCTGTCCAGAACAATATAGGGAAGATGGAACATCGGCATGTCTCCATCCCCCTGGGCGTGGAGCCAATAGTCATGTACAATTCATATCATTATAGGGTAGATGAAGCATCAGCATGTCTCCATCTTCCTTGGCCTTAGGGCCGTGAATCATAAACAATTCACATCATAATGACCTCGGGCCCACTTTTATTAAAAGGAACAAAACGACCTTAGGTCCATATCAATGCCATCGTTCAATCATATCCATTAATTCAATCAAAGCACAATGACAATAGTATATTCCATTCACAAACTACGATATATATATCATAATCACAAGAAGTAAGTAAAACACATCGTTACACTACTATTACTCACAGTGATGGGCTTCCGGTAGTAATGGGATGATGTCCTCGTCTTGACCTACAAACACAATGCGCAAAGCATAATATGAGAAGATAACCGATCCCTTACTTGTTCTCTTTGATCAATTAGTTATGTTGGTTCTAAACTCATAGGTCTTCAATGAATCACAATTCATGTCAAGGAAGATAGGAAGAAATGAAAGGAAATTGGGTTAGGTGAGAAAATGACATGAAATGGTTGGACAGAAAATGAACAATCTTCACTAATTTGGGCATATCTATTTGTATACTTAGAATTTTGATGTGAGACTACCACCATTGGAAACTAGACTTCCGGGACTTAAATTTAGGCTCAAGAATCACTCAAAACGGAGTTTGGATAAAAGAGATATGCTTATTTGAAGTTGGCTGAAACAAAGCTGTCCCGCACCTGCGGGAAACAGGGCCGCACGGGCGGGAATTGAGCCTTACGTGCAGGACAAGGTTCTTTTATTTCAGAATCATTTTTGGTGCTGGAAGGAGATTGCCGCGCGTGCAGGAAGCCCCACCGCACGTGCGGCTCTGGGCAAATTCTATTGTCCAAAAATGTTGTTTGCTCTAACACTTGTTCTTTCCTTTTCTAAGCTTGGTTTCAACTCTAATCACCCCAAAACATATAAAATTATCCCACAACATGATAAGCTAACATCGTTCAAGTGTAATTCCATTTTAAACAAATCAATCTTTGCCTCAAGTTCAAGATCAATGCTTTATCTTTCATAATTTTGAAAGTTCCCAAATCACAAGCCACAAACACACTTGATCCTTGCATAACCTTATTCTATGGACAATCTAGAGTTCATTCATATGGTATTCATAAGGATGAGTTCCAATCATAAACAAAATCATAGAACCTAAGGTCTAATTTCTTAAATTGAGCTCAATTAAATACATACATAAAACCCTAACGCAAATGGGTTTCAAATCTTCCAATATCACTATGATTTCATGAAATTAATGCATTAAACATAAGAATTCAAGGTAAACTTCCATACCTTAGTTCAATCTTTGCCTTTCTCTTAGCTCTCTCCAATTTCCCAAGTTTTCATGGCTGATCTTCTTCCTCTCTTTTTAATCTCTTCAATTTTATCTTCAAACTCCCATGAATGTTGAGCTCTCTCTCTCTTAGAGAATCTTCCTCTCTCCTTTGCCCTCTTTTTCTCTCAGTTCTCTCCTTCTCCCTCTCCCTCTCCCTCATATATTTTTTGGACTCCAAAATGATGAGTTCACCTCATATGGCATATATATATATATATATTACATACATAAGCTTATCACAATAGGGGAGCCAAACGCACCCTTACGAATCGTACGAAATTAAATTTCAATTAAACTTCCTAGATGACTCTAAAAATTATGCTGATCATAACTATGTACTCTGTTCTGGTTTCTGAAGCCTCTAAGGCCTTCAATTTGCAGTGCAAAGTTAACCACCCAAACACACCTTAACGAATGAGACGAAATAAATTTCCAATTAACTTTCCCAAATAACTTTAAAAATTCCCATTAACATATCCAAGTACTCAATTTTGATTTCTAAACCCATAAAGGTTGGCAATTTCAATTTTAAAGTTGTAACTCAACAAATAATGCTTCAATTCGAATAGATATCATTAAATTAAAGTACATTAACCTACAATTAATTAAAGATAATTTTCGATATGCATTTTGGGGTTGTTACATTAGACCTTTCAGTCTTATCAGTTCCATTTATAAAGTATTGTCTAAAGTGTTGGCTCGAAGGATGAAAGTACTATTGCCAAGCATTATTGATAGAGTTCAATCAACATTCCTGAATGGGAGGAGTATTATGGATGGAGTTCTTATAGCAAATGAGGTTGTGGACTGGTGGAAGAAGTCTAATAGAAAAGGGCTAATCCTAAAACTCAATTTTGAAAAAGCTTATGACACTGTGAACTGGAACTTTCTCAGTCATATGTTGGAGAATTTTGGTTTTGGCTCTACTTGGACCAAGTGGATGAAGGGTTGCATTTCCTCTGCAAGAGTTTCAGTTCTTATCAATGGGTCACCATTACCTGAGTTCTACCCTCAAAATGGTTTAAGACGAGGTGATCCAGGATCTCCGTTCTTGTTTAATGTTGTTGTAGAGGGACTGAATATACTCATATCAAGAGCTAAGGCATTGGGTATCTTTAAAGGTGTATCAGTAGGGGGCAGTGGTTTGATTATATCTCATTTACTGTGAGGCTGAATGGTCTGAAATTATGGCTATCAAAAGAATCCTTAGGTGTTTTGAAGTAATCTCAAGTCTAAGGATTAATTTTTATAAAAGTGTTTTTTGTGGAGTGGGAGTGGCAGATGTGGTGGTTAAGGAGTTTGCTGCAAAATTACATTGCTCAAGTCAAAAGTTACCATTGAAGTATCTAGGGCTCCCATTGGGGGCTAGTCCTAGTAGGAGGGTGACTTGGAGACCAGTTGTGGAGAAATTCAAGAAGAAGTTATCCGGGTGGAAGAGAAGAGTTTTATCTTTTGCAGGTAGAGTTACACTTATCAAGTCTGTGTTGTCTACTTTACCTGTATACTATGTCTCTTTTTAAAATGTCGGAGGGTGTTGCAAAAAAGATTGATAGGATTCAAGCATCTTTTTTATGGGGAGAGACAGAGCATAATAGAAAGCTCCATTTAGTGAGTTGGTCAGAGGTTTGCAAGAGTATGAAATAAGGGGGTCTGGGGATCAAGAATATTAGGTTAGCCGATGATAGTTTGCTATTAAAGTGTTAGTGAATGTATGGCCAGGAGGATGATGCTCTGTGGAAGCTGGTTATATGTGAGAAGTATGGTTCTTTAGGGAGAAGGTGGTTCCATGTTCTGGTTGATAATGGCTCTACATCGAAGATATAGGGAGATATATTATTTGTGGCTCAAAGGAATAGCAGACTTTTTCATTTATACCAGGATAATGTGGACATCTTAATAGGGAATGGAGATAGAGTTAGCTTCTGGAGAGATCCTTGGTTGGGGTCAACAAATTTTTTAAGTCAATTTCCAAGATTGTTCCAGTTGGTGGAAGACAAAGAGCTGTCCTTGAGTTTGCCAATAGCTAGAAGATCTAATCAAGCTGGGTGGGCCTTCAATTTCAGAAGAGCACTTTGGGCTTGGGAAGAAGATGAGTTGGTTAGATTAACCACTGTTTTGGGGGATGGCCCTATTCTACGAAGTGAATCAGTTGATTGTTTGGTTTGGAAATCTACACAATCAGGGATCTTCAAGGTCCATTTTGTTTATGCCTGGGGCTTGGCAAATGATGGCCCTATTCAGAGATCAGTTGACCTAATTTGGAATAACTTCTCACCACCAAAAGCCAAATTTTTGTCTTAGTTAGCTTGGAGAGGGAGACTGAAAACAAAAGAACTGTTTCACAGGTTTGGCATCTTGGTGGGTGTTGATGTTCTGAATTGCATTTTTTGTCATGAGGCAATTGAATCAGTTGACCATATTTTGCTGCATTGTCCTTTTGTTTGACAAATATGGTCTGCTATTGCTCTATGGTGGGGTTTTCAGTGGGCTATGCCTAGTTCCATTGAAGGGTTGTTACTTTGGTGGTTGGGTTGGAAGTTTAAGAAGAAAGTTAATCAGGTTTGGAGGGCTTTACCTGCAGCAATATTGTGGTCCGTGTGGAGGTATAGGAATGAGTGTGTTTTTTAGGAAGTTCAGCCTAATTTTAATGATCTATGTGAGTGTATAAAGATGAGAGTAACAATATGGCTGAGGTCTCATATCAGTGGTGCCTTATTCTTAGTTAATGATGTTGTTTTCAATTTTCATCAAGTTAAAAATTATATGGAGTCCTCTTAAGTTGTCTGTACTATGGTGGAGGTGCTGCTAGTTTTTTTTGTAGATTCACTGCTGATATGGTAGAGGTGCTGCTGGTTTTTCTTAGTATATGATCTGTGTGCTGCTGGTTTTTTGTTTTTGCTGCTGTCTGTGTTAGTTGCTGCTGTTTTTTTACAATTTAGCTGCTGTTCGTGTTCTGTTTCTATAAGTGTTCTGTTTTCTATTCTGCTTTGGTTTACTGCTTCAGGTGTATTGGTTATTGGTTGGTTTTGGGTTGAAGTGTGGGCTTTACCATTGTCACTGAGTTACTAATGTCGATGTTCAATTTTGCTGCTGCTGTTGTTTACTGGGTGAAGATTATAGTTTGCAAGGGGTGATTTGTCATTTGGTTAGATCTTATAGGCTGTAATTTTTCGGTTTGTTTTGGTGTTTTACCTATTTTGCTCTGTATGTTGGTTACTCTCTAATTTGGAGCTTAGAGGTAGTGCTAGCAGATGATTTGGTGTGCATCTTGGTGCCAACCTGGTTGGGATCTTGATGTACCACTGCGATACTTTTTGCACCCTCCTCTTTATTGATATACTTTTACATACTACTGTAGCCCGACTTTTCGTGCCCCATTTCGGAAGACGAATAGCCTTATAGTATCAGACTCCCATGGTTCTGAATCTGATTCCATAAGTGCAATGTGAAATACATAAACACCAAAGAGTCCAAATCCGACAAATCTTTTGGAAAATCGATTTTGAATCAAATTGCCAAAATGGACTGCTTTGCTAGATACAGAGTCATCACCTAAATATTTTATTTTGGGGGAATTTAGGAAACCCATGGCTCGTGCCAAAGGCCACGTGTCCGTCATCACCAAGATTGTCTCGGCTCGAGAACTTAGGTACGTGAGGGGAAGGTCATGAATTGAGCACCCCCGCTCGCCCGATAAAAGATTAGCCTCTACTAATCATGATATAATTCTTATCTACATTATATGCTCTTGTTCCGATTTATTAGGCTTGCATTACTATGTGATGCGCATACACACAAGCATAGACTAATTCCCAAGAATTGGAACATTTCGCTCATGTTTGTTTTGAAAATTGTTTCGAATATGTACCACTTGAAAAAGTGATTGCATATGAACATTACTCAAATTATTCCAATCCGAGCAATTAGTCTTCATCCACAGGCATTCAAGCAATTTATCAATTAAGCACTTAGCCTCATGGCACGTGTGCTAAACTTGGCAACAATTACATTCATGCAATTATACTAAAGTGAGTAAAGGCTTACCTAGTACTCCAAGCCAAAAAAAGATGATAAAGTTAGAAAGCTGTATGATCCTAACTAGGCAATATGACTAATGCAACACATGCGATATGCAATCTAAATAGGCTCGACTACTTAACATGTCATGTAAATCAATTTGATAGCATGCGGTCTAAGCACGTATTCAAAGAAGTATTCAAACAACAATACAAGTTAGAATGATGAATCGAGCCTTGGTGCATGCAAAATAAGTGGATGCAAACATGAGATATGCTAAACGAAACAGGATGCCCTAAATTAACCATCATAAGTTAGTAAATAAAAGGGAGAAAAACGTGGGGTTAGAAAGCATACACATTATTACAATTGCTTGCCTTCGCACAGGAGGGTCCGAATGAACTAACTAGCTAAGCTAATTAATTAACTATTACAAACCCAAATGAATAATTTAGCTAAACTACATAACTAATTATTACAAAACAAAATTAGCTAACTAATTAATTACAAAACGAAGTAACCAAATTAACTACTCTAATTACTCCTCCTCGGGAAACGAGGAATGTTCATGCATGCGCGAGCTTTCCACCAGAAAAAGCCACTGTTTCTGCTGCTGAATGCCTCTGTTGCACAGTAGAACATTTGCACTGATTTCCACCTCCAAACCAACTTTGTTCTGCTTCAAAAGTACATTGCTGGATTTTGCACTGGTGGCCTACAGAGGGCCTGCCGTCGACTGAAGATGGCCTGCCGGCTACTAATGACTAGACTTTCCTGCTACAACAGAGAGCAAACAGAGCAGAGACAGGGTATTCTCAAGGGTTTGTTTGCACAATTTACCCCTCCTTATCATTTGAACAACTCAAAGGAATAGCAAGTTTGATTCACAAACCACCAATGGATGCAATTTCATTGCATGATGACTTATGAATCAAGTGTGCAAATTCAATTAATGCAATAAAACAATACTCTCAAAACCACCTCCCAATCATGAAAGATCAAGGGAAGTAGTTGACAATGAATCTCGAACCGTTTTCATCACTAATGAGTATGAAATGACTCAAGACTCAAGGGTTCAATTAACATCCGATTGAACCCAAACCAAATTATTGTCTTGCACCTTTTTTATTCACCCATTTTATTACTCCATTTTGATTACTTCTCAATTCTTTAATTAATTAAGTCCACAAGGTGAATTTAAGTCCTCTAATGGAAAGAGGGCTCAAACCAAGTGTTGCTTTAGACTTGAAAGAGACATCATACCGCTGGTAATGAACCCCCAAAGGTATTAAACCATTAAGCATGACATCTCAATCTCATGCTTAAACAAACAAATAATTTGAAACCACTTTCAAAGCAAAGAAAAAGTCAAGAAAGGAAGGAGGTTGCAGAGGTGATTAAAGGTGAGAACAAGTAAGAAAAGCACTAAATCAATGCAATCAACTCAAATAAGGTGGTGTCTAAGGCCTAAAACATCAAACTTATGAGGACAATTACACTACAAGCATGCAATATAAGGCTCAAATGCAATGAACACTTAAAAATAGTTCTAAAACAGTGCTAAATAAGTCCTAAAACATGCTAAAATTAAGACAAAAATAGCTAGAATAATAGGCTAAAACATAGAGCTATGTAAGCTAGTGAACAAGACACAAAGAGGGGATACTAACCCCTCTAATTTTGGACTTCAAAAAGTGTTTTTAGCCACTGAAATAACTCTGAAATTTAGTATTTAAAAACTCAAAAAAAGGTGACGACAACATGGGAAACACAAGGGTAAAGGCCTTAGAAGCTAGGTAGAAGGAATGGTGAGCCACCCCTTCACCCTTATTGGCCTTAAATCACAAGTTTCAGCCCAAAATTTTAGAGTTTAGACAGTCTAAAAACAGCCCAAAAATAGTACAAAAAAGTGCTGGAATGAAGATAAAAGTAACTAAAATAATAAGTTAAAACATTGAGCAATTTAAGTTAGTAAACAAGCCAAAGGAGGGGTGGCTAAACCCTCCATTTTTGAGACTTCAAAAACCACTTTTTTTATCCTCTAAAAACCTCTGAAATTAGTGGTAAAAAGCTCAAAAAAAGTTGATGAAAGAATGGAAAACACAAGGGCAAAAGCTTAGAGAACAAGGTTCAAAGAAGGGTAGTTAACCCCTCTACCTTTGGTAGCTTTAAACCACAAGTTGCAGCCCATAAAAACAGTTGAAAAACAACAACAAAAGAAGTAGTGCAAAGATGCTCAAAATTATACTTCTTGAAGAGGAATAATACTTTTGTTTACAAACTAACAAGTTCTCACTCTCAAGGGCTGAAATTTGGACCCAATAATTTTAACAAGGAGAGCTCCAATATTGGTTTAGGAAGTGTAGAGAGAGGGTGTATAGGTTGCAAGATAGAGATACAGAGAATTCCAAGTTTTGGAACTTTTAGAATTTTTTATAACCTTAAACCATGAGGGATGGCCTGCTATATATAAAAAAAAGCCCTCAGGTCGAAAATGTCATGCCTGGAATAGCTGGAGCTTTTAGGGGATAGCTGGCCAAAAATATCTTTGTTTTGCACCAGTGGCCGGTAGGCCAGAAGTGTGGGTTGCCGGCCACAGAAAATCTGCTTTCAGGCCCGATTTCAAGCGGGCATATCTCCTTCATCCGGATTCGGTTTTAGGTCATTCTTAAGTCTAAATTGAAGCCCTAGAAGTCTACTTTCCAATGATGGTAGCCTGACTTCTAAATTCTAAGTGTAAAAAGAGATATGCCTATTTTAGTGAAGGTTGCTCATTTCTATCTTAACCGGATTGATGCCCAACTTCAAATGGCCATATCTCCCTCATCCGGATTCGGTTTTAAGAGATTCTTGAGTCTAAATTGAAGCCTGGAAGTCCACTTTCTGATGGTGTGGCTTCAAAACTAAAGTCTAACTGTATAAAGAGATAGGCCTAATTTAGTGAAGGCTACTCAGTTCTCTCTTAACGGTTTCATGTTCAATCATTTCCCCGACTAGTTTTATTCTCTCTCCTCGAATTTTCTTCAACTCCAAACCTATAAATAAGAGGTTTAAAGATATTTTTCGAAGAGTTCACATCTCTTCCATTTATTTCCACTTTGTCTTGCTCGGTTTACCAAAAAGTGTAACTTTTGAACGAAATGCGAGCCTCGAAACATCGTAGAAATATTTAGAAAAATATTTTGAAAGAGAGGGTTTTAAGGTCTAAAATGGTTTTGGTAAAAAATGTTTTGGTCCAAAATGGGGTGTAAGGTTGGGATTTAGAAGCTCTTCTTGCTGAAGAAATCGAACGTTTGTGCATCATAACTCTCATTATCGAGTGATCAACCTGAGGCGCCCAAATCTTAAGTGCGGTAAAAAATGGCGTGTCTACAGTTGCCCTCTTTGATAGAACTCGAAGTCATGAAATGATGTGAGTGAATGTCAATGCCCGAAGACGACCCATTTTGACAAGGCCTTAAGACTTGGGCAAACAAACAAAATGCAAATGCAATTGGTTAAACCCGAGGGTTGCCTACGTATCCCTTTGCATGAAATCAAACTAGCGTAGTTTAGGGGCAGAATGCAAATGATATACAATGCAACAAAACAATTTAATGATATGCAGTTCAATACAATAATATAATCAAACCACAAGCAGTGCAAAACACACAAATATCATAAAGGGATAGAGATGCAAATCAAATTACGTTTTATATAGAAAAGAAGTGGGTACAGCCAAACGATGCCTAACACATGCTAAGTGCCTATACCCTTAATACTGGCCTCAACGAAACATGGATGCTTACATATAACAAAACCATGTTTCAACATGAAAGGGGTGCGAGAACATGCAAAACTATGTTTTTCGTAGAAAGAGAAAGAATACAAGTAATTGGGTGGTCTGATATAAGTGAGGAATGATCCTGCTGGGGAAAGATAATGATCCTAAATGTTGAATGCAACTAGACAAAGTATGATGCAATGGATGCAATGGATGCAGTGAATAAGGCGTAAGCCGAACCACGTTTTACCTAGAAAAGGCATGAACACAAAACATACCACGTCTAACATAGAAATGGTGTTGACACCCTCAATACTGGCCTCAGCGTAACATGGGTACTTATACATGATAGAA